CACACACACACACACACACACACACACACACACACACACACACACACACACACACACACACACACACAGTAATAACTCACCAGCTGACAGATGTCGACAGAGTAGCTGTAACTTCGACCTGAAGGCCTTCACGTGGTCAAACAGCTCTGTGATGATCTGTTCTTTTCCCTGAAGCTGAATATTCAGGATGTTGAGCTGCTCAGTGATGTCCACCATAAAAGCCACGTCACAAAACCACTTGTCATCTGAGGGGACTTGAGTGTCRCTGTTCTTGCTTTTAAGAAACTCCGTGATGGCATGACGCAGCTCAAAAAATCTTTTGAGGACTTTCCCTCGGCTCAGCCACCTCACCTCTTGGTGGTACAGCACATCTTTGTATTCTGAATCCACCTCCTCCAGAAGAGCCCTGAACTGTCGGTGTGAGAGAGCTTTTGAGCGTATGCAGTTTATAATTGCAACAACGCTGCGCACCACGTCCCCCAAACCAAGTGATTTGGCACAGGGTTGTTCTTGATGAATGATGCAGTGGTATTTTGCCACCTTACCTCCGCACTGGGCAACCTTCTGAGAAACTAGCATGGCGAGACCTGCTTTCCTCCCAGCCATGGCAGGTGCTCCATCTGTCGTTATCCCGACCATTTTGTCCCAGCTCAGCCCATTCGTATCCAGCACGTGCTCAACTGCTGCAAACAAATCTTCACTTTTTGTTGTGTTGCKCAGTGTTTCAAGTCCAGCCAGCTCCTGTGTAATCTCCATATTTTCATTCACTCCTCGTATGAAAAGCAGAAGTTGCGCCGAGTCCGAAACGTCCGTACTCTCGTCACACGCCAAAGAAAATGCAACAAATTCCCGGGCTTTATCCTTAAACTGCTCCTTAATGTCACGAAACATATCCTCAATGCGACGTGTCACAGTATTTCGGGAAAGGCTGATTTGAGAAAAAGTTCTCACTTGAGACGGGCACATAAACACTGCAGCTGTGGACAGACACTCCTTAACAAAATCCCCCGTTGAAAAAAATCTTCCAGTCCGGGCAATAAGCGCAGAAATCTCAAAGCTGGCCCGTGTCGCACTGTCCTGGGCTGCCGAGGGCCGTGYAAGAGCACCTTGTTGAGAACAGAGTTTAGCTAACAAGTTTGCGGTCTTGTTTCTTCGCGCATCACCTTGGTACTGTGAAAACGCTGGATGCTTCGTCTCATAGTGACGACGAATGTTGTACTCCTTTATAACAGCAACAGACTGATTGCAGATAAGGCAGATGGCTTTAGCGTTAATGTCTGTAAAAAATATTCTTCCTCCCAAGACTTTTTGAAATGTCTTTTGTCTGTGTGCCACATACGATGTGGTTCCATGTTGGCGCTTGTTTAAGCTAGCAGCCAATGTGTTAGCTGCCCCTTATATAGTCATTGGGATGCGTTCAAGGACGATCGGAAATGGTATATATGAACGGAATGACCTAGTAATTAGGCCAACAGCTGGCGGGCCAAAACAAATGGCTTGGCGGGCCAACTTTGGCCCGCGGGCCCCACTTAGGGCACCTCTGCGTTAGGGGCTGAGGCGAGAATCATTGAACCAGGGGACAAGAACAAGGTCGGGATCAAGAGGCAAAAACGAGACATGGATGAAAAACGCTGGAGAACCACAGGCAAGCTGATGAAAATCTGGCAGTGAACTGGAGAGTGAGACTGGATTATATACTGCAGGAAACAGGTGAGTGAAATGAGCTTGATTAGGGTTTCTATGAAGGGAGGGGCAAGAGCAATGAGCAGGAGCTGGATGTGAGCTGTAAGGCTGGGAACAAGACTATGAGGAGAAACTGGAACATGAAATAAGATAATAAAACTAAACTGAGGCATGATCTAGGCAGACAGGGACAGAATCATAAAAACTGTGAATTACTGAGCCTTTGTCTAATCAAAGAAGAAATTAAAAAATATGCTTTTGCAACATATTATTCCATATGTTGCTATAAATATCTGAGAAAGATTTTCTTCAAACACGACATCCTGGTGCATTTCAAATCTAACAGGACCCTCAGACAGAGGTTGGTCCATCATGAGGACAAAACTCCCTAAACCCAAACTGACCAGTGTGGTGTATGCAGTTCAGTTCAGCGAGGAATGTTAAGACCTCTCTATTGGCAGAAGTAAATAATCACTGTTCAGATGCATGACTCAACACAGGAGAGCCAGCCCTTAAGACCACTGTGCACCTACACCCTGAAGAATAAGGGACCCTTCCTGAAAGCTTCGGGAAGAAGAAGATGGAGGAACAGCTCCAACAAAACAAAGTTCGAGAGGTCTGGAGAAACATGAATACAATCTCTGGCCTCTTCAGGGACAATGGAGGAGCCATAAGGCCTACAGATCAGGGGTGGGCTAATGACCTGAATTTGTTTTTCAATAGGTTTGACTCTGGCCCATTGGCCAACTCCCCCACCACCCAGCTCCCAACTAGCCCCCACCATATGCTGCTCCCCCACTTTCTACTTCCTGCACTCTCCTCACCCCCACCAACAACAGAACCAGCCCCACCTATCACTCCAACCCAGCCTCACATTCACCTCACACCTGATCAGGTGAGAAGTCAGCTCAGGAAAACAAAGATCAGGAAGGCAGCAGGACCGGATGGAATCAGCCCCAGACTGCCCAGAGACTGTGCAGACCAGCTCTGTCCGGAGGTCCTGCATATCTTCAACCTGAGCCTGAGTCTGTAGAGAGTTCCCTGATCTGTGGAAGACTTCCTGAATGGTTCCAGTGCCAAAGATCACACATCCCAGGGAGCCCAACCACTACAGACCTGTGGCTCTGACTTCTCTTCTGATGAAGACCATGGAGAGGCTCATCCTCACCATCTTTGTTCTGTGGTGTGCCCAGCACTGAACCCTCTGCAGTTCGCCCACCAGCCCGGCATCAGGATGGAGGATGCTGTCATCTACCTGCAGCACCGATGTCTGTCTCACCTAGAGCAAGCAGGAAACACTGTGAGAGTCATGTTCTTTGACTTCTCCAGTGCTTTCAACACTATCCAGCCTGCTCTGCTGAGAGGGGAGCTGGAGTGGAGAGGCAGCTGACAGCATGGACCATCGACTACCTCACCAACAGACCACAGTATGTGAGGCTCCGCGACTGTGTGTCTGATGTGGTAGTCTGCAGCACGGGGGCACCACAGGGCACTGTCCTCTCACCCTTTCTGTTCAGTCTGTACTCGTCAGACTTCAGGTACAACTCGGACCACTGCCACCTACAGAAGTTCTCAGATGATATGGCCATCACTGGATGCATTTCAGATGGGAATGATGAGGAATACAGGGGGGTCATCAGTGACTTTGTTGGCTGGTGTGAGACCAACGCTCTCCAAATCAATGCCAGCAAGATGAAGGAGATGGTTATAGACCTCAGGAGGATGCCACACCCGACAGCACTGATGAAGATCCAGGGAAAAGACATTGAGACAGTGGACTCTTGCAAGTACCTGGGTGTTCACCTCAACAACAAGCTGGACTAGACTACGAACACAGACGTCCTGTCTAAGAAGGGCCAGAGTCGACTCCACCTGTTGAGGAGACTGAGGTCCTTCGGTGTCTGCAGGACTCTGTTAAAGACATTCTACGACACGGTGGTAGCATCTGCCCTTTTCTATGGAGTGGTCTGCTGGGGGGCTGGATGTACCAAAAGGGACAGGAATAGGATGGACAAACTGATATGGAGGTCAAGCTCAGTGCTGGGATGTCCTCTGGAACCTGTGGACGGAGCACTTCCGTAGGTCATTCATTCCAACTGCAGTTAGACTGTATAACACATCATGATGTGTTCAGTCACTTGGACAATTCAACTACACTGGCATCAGTAATACGCACCTGCATATATATTCATTTATGTACTGTACCAGGTATATGTACATTGTTATATATCACGAGTATAGTGGTTTTTGTTTTTCTTTTACTTATCTTTCTTTATTCTATCTCACCCTGTCCTGTTTTGAGCTGCTGCAATGTGCAAATTTCCCCACTGCGGGATCAATAAAGTTTTATCTTATCTTATCTTATCTTTTATGGGTAACCAACTTGTTCATGTTAATTTTATTTTATTTTATTTTACTGTTATTTAACCAGGCAAGTCCCATTGAGATCTCAGATCTTTTTTTCAAGGGAGGCCTGGGCCTGAAGGCAACACATTGTACATGTTTTTGCGGGGTGGGGGAAACTGGAGCACCCGGATAAAACCCACACAAGCACAAGGAGAACATGCCAGCTCTGCACAGAAAGATCCCAGGTCCGAACCAGGGATCAAACCCAGGACCTTCTTGCTGTGAGGCGTCAGTGCTAACCACTGAGCCGTCATGCTGCGTACACGTAACATAAAAAACCTTTCAACAATGACACTCCATTTTCTTTTAAAGACCTTGTTCCACATTTTTATAAGCCCACTGAAGGTGGTTATAGCATGATATAGTCTCCTTCCATCCAACTGTTTTATGTCCAGACCATGGTCTGTGCTGACAAGATAATTTAATGAAACTTAAGGGGCAATATCATTTAAAAGCAACTTTTTTTGAGCTATACATCACAAAGTTATCCCCTCATCAAAAACATACCCAAACTGTTGTTTTGACTCATTCATGCACGTTTGAGAAATCCTGTACTGTCCTGAGGCAGTCATTCAGAAGAACAGAAACATCTGGTTGACCCTAGAACCACCTTTTAGGTGCAGCTCCTCCTCAGGGCTGTGTCTCCAAGCTGAGTTTTCGCATAACAGAGCATGCCTCCTCTGTGACTCCTGCAAGCTATCAGCAGCAACAATTAGCAAACAAATACCTGGTGAAACTGTGAGTCGGCTGAGCTCATGATACTTCTCAGTCCGGTCCTTTTCGGATTAAAAAAATGCCTTTGAAGAAATGTACTTTCGGAGGCCAAGGATAACACAGTCTTTAAGAAATGGTTAGACTTCATTTTGGAAGTAACCCTCCAATGAAAAAAAAAATATATATACATACATATATATATATATA